TCCATTTCCATTTTAAAATAGATGGTTGAAATAGTCATGCAAATTGATTGTTTTGGTCATACTAGCTCAAAGTAATCCCATTGCTACCTCATCCCTCATATCATACAATAATTTACCCTATATCTCCTGCAAGACATTTGTCTGACATCCTATATTGCACATTATAGGCTTCTTCTTTTCTTATCTCAAGTACATTTAAATAGATAACTAATAATAATTAGGCAACTAAAATGATTATTGTTATGGAAATAATTATCATAGACGCCAATTTGTAACATACAGGACAAACCTTGATGTCTGTTTACCTTCTTTAAGGACACAGGCTGCTTAGCCAATAATGTTATTGTTCCCATTCTGTGACCGGTCAATACTGGGTCACAGATGGTCTGTGTTGTGGGTACCACTTCCTTCTCTGTATTTGTGGACTCCAAGGTGAAATCTTCGAGGTCATAAGTGTCCGACGCAAGTAGCTCAGTGTTCCCACACTGTTTAGGCTATCTTCTCAAATATGTTGTTTACTCTCTGCGAAACCAGTTAGATGGGCTGGCAAGAGAGAGGCTCTCCAGAATTGATGTGGCAACTCTACCGTGAAGTCAGAACCTCTGACTCTTGGATTTGTGATGTGAATACTCTGGTACCAACTCCAAATAAATCACAGTGGTTTGACATCAAAGCTCCGACTCTTCCCTTGTCTCCTTCCTGAGTCGGTGACTCCACTGCATGCTACACAGAAGTTTCCTTTACAATTATAACTAAAGATGAGAATAGGCATTAGGGGTGCGAATCACCATGGCTCCCCGCGATACGATACCATGGCGATACTTAAGCCTCGATACGATAGTATTGCAATTCTACGATATGCTAATTCCCCCCCCCCCGAAGAGTCACAATATTAGTGTTAACTATATACTAAATGTGCTTTGTGTCTTAATTTATTTATATACTGTATTATAACTGTATTAACTATTTTAAGTTCACTTGTTTAATGGTATTCTAAAGTAATGCTCATATGGATGTAGCTTGAATGTATTTGTTGTTTTGTGTCGTCGTATAGCTTATTTACATTGTTTTTTTGAGTTTTCAATCAATTAGAAATCATCAGTCAAGTGTACGACCATCTTTCGGAGGGATATGCTACAGTTTATATAATAAAATATCAATACTTGCCGTCCGTGTATCAATACAATATCACCACGCAAAGTATTGCGATACTATGCTGTATCGATTATTTCCCCCGCCCCCATAAGTATATTGCAGGATATGAACAGTTGGAATCACTAGTAGTTATAGTCAGGGTTACCAATAATCCATACCAAGGTATCAGCTGCATTTATATATGATCCATGAAGATCCTGTGAGGCTCAACAGCTTTATTCGCCTTAGTGATAAAACCCTTACATCTTGAAAAGAGGCATTTGTGTGCCAGATACAGCTGAGTAAACAAAATGCATATATCTTTGCATTCGGTTATATTTTTTGTTTCTCATTTGGATACCTTTTTTTTTCTACCCAGCTTTCAGCTCGGCCATCCATTCTCTGGACGGGGCAACGCAGCGGAGCGACTTTGTCTCCATCCTCAGGGAGTTTGGGAACCATTATGTTCAGGAGGCGGTGTACGGCTTCCAGGAGTCCTGCACCATCTGGTACCCCCAACAAACAGGTCCAGAGACAGCTGTGGCTCGAGTACCAGGACATCAGCAAAGGTAGGACACACACACAAGGAATGATATTTATAAAAAATGGAGCGTAATTGTTTTGGCCTGAGCATCAAGGGTGAGGTCTTGTGTTTGTGACTGTGTATAATATATAAGGAACACAGTCGATTATTGCAGTGGGTGTAGGGTGTTTCTGGATTATTATGTTAAAAATTCTAGAATTGGCAGGGCTCTTGAGGATACTTCAATAATTTAATACATTCATGCCTGGAGAAATCATCACATTGGGAACTATTTTTTTACAAAGCCCCTATTACATTCCCTTTATTTTGGTAGTACCCTGTTGTGAAGAGATTTGACTGGGATCCCAGGGTGGCATTATTTCAATGAATTCCTATGTGTGTGTTTGGCCATCCAAACAATGGCCAGACCAAAAACTATTCGGTTTTTGGTCTGCATTCTAAACGGAAATACTTCTTGTAGATCGCTTTGGCAGAGCTTTTACAGGACATGGTGGATTTGAATGATGGCTGATTTTCAACACACCTGTATCAATACAAAGATGCTTGATTTTCAAGGTTCATGTACAGCTGCTTCTGTTTGGACTTAATTTTAAGACGGATGCCATGAGCAGAGATGGCAAAAGTACACACATCCTTTACTCAAGTAGAAGTACAGATACTTGTGTTTAAAAATACTCTGGTAAAAGTAGAAGTTCTGACTAAACTTCTGTACTCAAGTAAAAGTAAAGAAGTATGGGCTTCGAAATGTACTTAAGTAAAAAGTACCCATGACTACCAATTGTTTTAAAGAGTAATTGACCTCCCTTTATATTAATAGAACAATAATGTAATTGTTAACTAATGAATGTTTCAATGCTGAACAACAGTTTTCATTGGTCCCTCTTCTTTAGAGAAGACCAGGAAATGATGGATACACGGATTGTGTTAAAATCAATAGGCACGCAATGACTCTAAATAATAATGATCACGCCACCAAACGCAGATTAAAACTAAAATAACGAGCCTGTTTTGAAAATGTAAGAAGTAGAAAGTACAGGTATTTGTGTTCAAAATGTAAAAAGTAAAAGTAAAAAGTTGTCAGAAAAATAAGTAGTGAAGTAAATTACTGATACCAGACAAATGTATGGTACAGTAACAAAGTATTTGATTGATATCCTGGCATTGTCTTCACGATACATGTTAAATACATTACAGCCAATGGCACTACTCACACTAGAGAGTGTGTGTTGTAGTTCTGTTGAGTTTGTCTTGGCACCATAATCACCATTGTTCTATCTCAAGCAATTACAGTAAACTATACAAGCACTCTCCAGAAGGACTTGAACCACTTCTACTAAAGTGAACAATCAAAGAAGCAGCATCTTTGCTCTTTGTCTTATTAATCAAAATGCCACCATATGTCAGCCATCAGTCTTTATGTCCTTGTTTTATCAGCAGAGGTAAGAAAGTGTACTTCTCTCCCTGCCGTTTCAACTCAATAACTCCAAACTGTCAGCTGTTGTGCTCTTTGTTTGCCTCTGCCACTCTTCTTCCCTTACATTACTTAGTGCAAGGACACCCATGCTGCGCGCCACCGTTAGCTCCCAGTTACCTCCACACTGAAATATGGCATTAGATGACTGAGTTTCCCCACCCTCATGAAAAGTGCATTACTCTTCATTTTGAGACGTCTCTGACACACTGGTTGCACACATTGTTAATATTTCAACACAAGCAAAACATTATACACTTCTAAGCTTTGTTCTTGTACACAATAATTGTTATTTTTTCTGTATCATTCTAAGTTTTTTTTTCTTTTTTTGATTGGTGATAGTGTACTGAAAAGAGTTCCTGCCGTCCTAAGCTCTATGTGTTTTTACTTATAATCTATATTGTTGTTTATTTGACTTTATTTTAACATTCGTAATATTGATGGACAGCGTGTCTGCGTTTTGTTAACTCATCCGAAATAAAACATGGGTAACAAAATGTGCTTAAATATTTAATGGTATGGTTACAATTTTCTGATTTTACTGTTGATCTGTTTCTACTGTAGCCTTCAACTTCAATGTCCAGGGGGAAGATAACAGTTAGATACAATACAGTTACAGATCACACAACTTGTGTTATACAGACGTGTGTAGACTATTTTAACATTAATACAATCGTAATCAATACCCATTAATTTGACATACTCTAATGTGAGAGAAAATAGAGAAAAGGGGTTCAGTCCATTTACTTCCAATGTATGATTCTCAATTAACTGCTTGTGTCACTTTTTTTTATGGGAATAGCATGTTAGCTGAACATGCAGAAATGTATTAATTGTGAACGGGCAAGCATATATATTTTATATATTAAGACATTAAGTTTAATTTCTAAAAAGCTAAAGGTAGGGTAGGTAAGAATGGAGAAACCAGCTCGAGTGCGCTAGAATTTGAAAGTATGCAGCCGAAAAAAATCTGCCCCTTCCTTCAAACTTCCTTACAGAGCCCCTCCTCCAACACACACTGGCGCGCACATGACCAATGAGGGCACGAGATAAGTTTGCACGAGATGGAAGGCTGACAGGCAGGTAGGCCCATAGATATATATAAACTAGGGCTGTCAGTCGATTAAAATATTTAATCGCGATTAATCGCATGATTGTCCATAGTTAATCGCGATTAATCGCAAATTAATCGCACATTTTTTATCTGTTCTAAATGTACCTTAGAGGAATATTTTTCAAGTTTTTAATACTCTTATCAACATAGTGGACAAATATGCTTTATGCTAATGTTTATTATCATTTGAACAATGACAAATATTCTCATGAATATTAAACACAACAACCTATGAACATTACAAATATTCGCCTCAATTCAACCTGGAACCTCTCTCATACAATAATACAATACAAATGGTGTGTGTGTGTGTGTGTGTGTGTGTGTGTGTGTGTGTGTGTGTGTGTGTGTGTGTGTGTGTGTGTGTGTGTGTGTGTGTGTGTGTGTGTGTGTGTGTGGTGTGTGTGTGTGTGTGTGTGTGTGTGTGTGTGTGTGGTGTGTGTGTGTGTGTGTGTGTGTGTGTGTGTGTGTGTGTGTGTGTGTGTGTGTGTGTGTGTGTGTGTGTGTGTGTGTGTGTGTGTGTGTGTGTGTGTGTGTGTGTGTGTGTGTGTGTGTGTGTGTGTTGTGTGTGTGTGTGTGTGTGGTGTGTGTGTGTGTGTGTGTGTGTGTGTGTGTGTGTGTGTGTGTGTGTGATGGATCGTTGGAGCTATGTGCAACTCCAGGCATATGCTCGAACGGGAGCTGCCTGGACGCTGCAATCATGTTGCGCACTATCCGTGCTGAGTGTGCTGACTTTTCGTACAATGTCCCACTGTCTGGCTTCCTGCATAAAGTCAAGTGCTCGGCGCAGTTGTGGCGAAATGTCGCTCCTGTAGTGCCGTGAAAAGAGAGTCGGAGGCGGTGTATTAAGAATGGAGTTCCAATCTTTATTATCCATTACTTCAGAGAGGTTAACACATGCACTGCTCTGCCATGATGAGCTAGCAGGAATGGCAGCTAAAGCTACAGGTGTTCCCCACTAAAGGGTCCGTGTGGCAACACAATAAGCAAGGTGAATTATGTCCAATAACGTGTCACCACACAAGCCCCCCCAGAATTCACACATAACAAAATCAGCATGGCGGGGAGGAACGACACGCCGACCCCCACGACTCCTGAGCACGGGAGTCGGAAAAGTGACTCCCGCCTGTGCGGCCCCCGGAAGGGGAGGGACCGGGACAACAGGTCTTAAATCCGTGACAGGGGACGAGGCCGGGGGGCGGCCCCGTCGCGGAGGTCGAGCCAGCACCACAGGCTGGTCCAAGTCCAGGTGAGCAGCCTTCACCCGGTCCACCGAGACGTGCTCGGCCTTGCCACCCAGGTCGACCACCAGGTGCTTGTCCCCGTGCTCCAAGACCCGGAAAGGCCCATCATAAGGGGGCTGCAGGGGGCCTCTGTGCGCATCGTGCCGGATGAACACGTGCTCCGCCGAGCGGAGCTCTGCGGGAACCTGGGACACCTGAGTACCGTGCTGAGTAGTAGGGATCGGAACAAAGGCCTCAGCGGCGTCACGCAGGAAAGCCCGCTGGACCGACGCCGACCAGGGAGCCGATGCATTTGGGAGGAAATCCCCCGGAACTCTCAGCGGCTGACCGTAGACCATCTCCGCTGTAGAACACTGCAGATCTTCCTTAGGTGCGGTCCTCAGGCCCAGCATCACCCAGGGCAGCTTGTCGACCCAGTTACCGTCCGTTAGGCCGGCCTTGAGGGCCGCCTTCATGGAGCGATGAAAGCGCTCGCAGAGACCGTTAGCCTGAGGGTGGTAAGCGGTAGTCCTGTGCAGCTTAACCCCCAAACCGCCTGCCACAGCGTTCCAGAGCTCGGACGTGAACTGAGAGCCCCTGTCTGAGGAAATGTCTGACGGGGTGCCAAAACGACACACCCACGTTGCAATGAAGGCCCGGGCAACGTCTGCGGCTGATGTCGAAACGAGCGGAAACCGCCTCCGGCCAACGGGTCGTCCTGTCCACCATGGTGAGGAGGTAGGAAAACCCCTGAGAGGAAGGCAACGGACCAACCAGGTCAATGTTGACGTGATCAAACCTCCTCTCAGGCACCAGGAAACGCTCCAACGGGGCCTTCGTGTGGCGGTGCACCTTAGCGCGTTGACAAGCCACGCACTCCCTGGCCCAAGTCCTCACGTCCCTTTTCAGTCCTTGCCAAACGAACTTCGCCGCTACCAAACGGACCGAAGGTTTAACGCCGGGGTGTGACAGGCCATGCACAGCCTCGAACACAGGATGCCTCCAGCTGGCAGGGACGACAGGCCGCGCCAGGCCCGTAGAGACGTCACACAGGAGAGTAATGCCCGCGTCGCCGAACACCACGTCCTCCAAGCGCAGCCCCGCGCTCTCCACCTTCAGGGCCTGGACGCCGGGATCTGTGACCTGGTCTGCCGCCATGCGAGTATAGTCCAGGCCCAACTGGACGGCACCGATGACGACCCTGGAGAGGCAATCAG